TAGATTGTACACAATGTGTCCATGCAGAAGGTTATAAATCTGAATTTCTTGAAATAATCAAAGGGGTCCCACAAGGATCTATTCTGGGGCCCATTCTGTTATCAATTTTTATAAATGATTTAGGTACAGATGTTCAAGCAAAAATACATTTATATGCTGATGATACAGTGGTTTACACTCACGCCCCCACCACTTCAGGGGCTTTACAGGAACTTCAGGTTGCATTTCAGGCATTACAAAAGACATTGTTAAGTTTAAAGAATACTGTTGGCCAGAATTTGGGTTCAAGGGTAAATAAATGGCGCCTCCAGTGGTTGCTGTTATTCCACGGTAATTCCATTAGGCTGGCTTACAATAGCTGGGCCTTACCTCCACAGATCAGCCAGTAGCTTCCATGATGGATACATCTCTGCAACTGCATTGGCTTTTTTATAGAGGAATATTCTTTCTATCCTGCAGAAATAATCTACTAGCAATCTTAGGCCAGAGTGGGCCTCTTAGCTTCATACAGTAATGTTGCTGTTGTTAAAGATGGGATGTTGGAGGGATCTGTTTTAGTTGAATGTATCTTCTAATTTCCATACTTCTATACTGAGAGTGACTTGCTTTCTGGAAGGAGGTGGTTCTGCGTTGAGTCTAATGCAGTCAGGATTCCTCCAACTAACCCCTCCTACCTTCCAGCCTCCATCACAGCTGAAGCTCCACCTCCTTCCAGGAAGCATCTCACCTGTGTCTCACCTAGCCTGTTGTGCAGATGTTGTTCCTCAGCCCTATGGACCGCATGAACAGGCTGTAAGTTTGCTTAGTTTCCTTCTAGAACTTTGTATTGAGGAACTTTCCTGCTTATTTCTGCTCTCTGATGTTCTTATTCCAAAGTGTTATATCTCTGCTGTTTAAAGACTGATTAGATTATTAATTTGCTCCTACAGATAATTTGAAAAATGGAATCTAATTCCATGTTTGCTCCTTATGTAAATAAAACTAAACTATTTTTATTTCCCAGATCTAAACCTTTTGCTGTGGTTCTGCTGCTCATTGTGTCTTTCCAGTAAAACTGGAATCACCTCATTCCTTTGAAATCATCTCTTAGTTTCTATTTGTTCTCAGATGTTTCTGTATTTAGATTTTACATTTGAAATAATTTTACAATTATTTGACCCTCTTTATCAAACTTTCCCCGGCAGCTGGAATCTAGCAGGGTCTTTATTATTACTTCCTCTTAAAACTAACCATTACTAAGGAGTCTGATGCTTTCAGTCGATTATCTTCTGTTGCATAATCTCTCAGTTTCTGTCATCATAAATATTTTCCCCTGTTGAACTGAGTCAGTTAAATGGACAGGGGCCTGTTTCATGAAGCCGGTTTAACAAACTCAGATTCAAATCCTCGTACTCGTACTCGTCGTCTCCTGCTTTATCCGGAACCGGGTCGCGGGGGCAGCAGACTAAGCAGAGACTCCCAGACTTCCCTCTCCGCAGACACCTCCTCCAGCTCTGCTGGGGGAAGCCCTAGGCGCTCCCAGGCCAGCCGAGAGACGTAGTCTCTCCAGCGTGTCCTGGGTCGTCACCTGGGCCTCCTCCCAGTGGGACGTGCCTGGAACACATCCCGAGGGAGGCGTCCAGGGGGCATCCGAAGAAGATGTCCGAAGAAATCCTCGACTCTAAATTAATCTGGCGGGAACTCTGAGTTTTCTGTTTCACAATTAGCTCCTATCAATTAGTTCAATCATCTCTAGGTTCACTCAGAGTTTAACATGTGTGTAAAAAGTATGGAAAGCCATTATCAGTAGAGCCCCTATTTGATGAGTCACCATGACAACAGGCAACAGGAAGTGCCTATTTCACCCCACTGGAACTAAAGATTTAATGCAGAAATGCAAAAAAAAAAAAAGAAAGAGGAATGTGTTTAAAAGACAGAGAAACAGCACTACAGCTGCAAAGGAGAGGAAGATGAAGAAGATTGTTGCTCCAGTTAATGCAAAGGTTTAAATGGAGTGGGCTATGGCAGGCCGTTTTCACTCTCCGTTGTTCCTTTTTGTTCCCATTTATAGATCACTAAAATAAGATTCTTCCTGATCAAAATCACACTCCTAGACTGAACTGAAATAATAGATTTTCTAAATTAAATATTTGCAGAAAATAAAAAGAAAGTAACAAAACAGGGACTCCACTCAGCAGTCTGCTCCGGAGGTTTCTGTCCTCCCAGTTAGCTATGCACGGTGGGACACTGCGATCCGTGACTTTTGATGTCAGAAAAACGAAAGCTACTTCCAGTTAGCTTTCTTCTGGCATTTCACCTGAAACAGGCCTCTCCTTGCAGGTGGTGAACCCATGGAAAGAGAAAGATTTAGTTTGCGCTCTGGGTTTTAAACCATGAGTGACGTGGGGGCATTTCCTGTTGAAGTATCAGCCTCCTCCATCAGCTGATTGGTCTGTACTTGAGTTGACCGCCTCACAGTGGGCAGGTTGGTATCATCCAGTAAATCCCCCCCCCACAGAATTAATTAAGCTTTCTATAATCTGAACAGTGGCAGCTGGCCAATAGAGGGCGCTGGGGCGCCACTCCAGCCAACCAATGACCTTGAAAATTTTTGAAATATGTTAATATAGTTTTTAGATGTGCAAGATAAATATTTAATCTTTAATGACAAGTAAAGCTATATTGTTCGTCGTTGGATTGGTGACATACCTCCACTCTGGGGCTCAAAAATCTTTGGCCATTGGCCAGCTTTGGCTACTGGGCTAGCTGTATTTGCCCAGTAGCTTTGGGCTACTTCTGATGCTATCCCATTATACTATTAAAAGGAATATTTTTTCCTGAAATTGAATACAATTAATATTATTGGAATTGCATCCATTATTTAAAAAAAGGTTTACCATAACTTCACAAGATGAGTTTAGTTTCCCGTCCAGGAAACACACAGCCAGGCAGACGAGCTCCGAGCCAGCTCCCATGTCAGAGGATGAAGAGAGCACATCCAGTTAGTCACAGTCAGAGAAAAAGGACTACACTGGAAAACAGGCCAAGCTCCAACATCTAGAAACAAAGGTGTTGATGGCAGCAGCACAGCTGATATTTCTCTCCAGGATGGAGTCACAGCCAAACAGGAACAGACCAGATGAAGCTACTATGAGAAAAAGCAGAGAGAGCAGAACGTTAGAGCATAATTACAGCAGTTGAAGGCAGCCTCCTCGCCTCACTGCTGTCTCAGTGAATTTAACATTGATTTTTTTTTTTATTCATTTATTTGATAGGGACAAGTATGTTTCATGAATCATGTCACACACTACAACATTTTAGCTAAAGCTAATTCTCAATGCCTGTCCTCAGTTAGGCTTTTACACAAAACACAATGACTGAACACAAGAAACAACAGATTACAAATTACACACTAAAACATCACAGAAATAAGATCAGGTCAGTTAGATTATTAATGTTCACATGTCTGACCTCTCAATAAAAAGCCTTTAAGTTTATGTTTAAAAAGGACCCAGTTTGACTCTCCCTTCAGCTCTGCAGGTAATATATTCCATGTTTTGGTGCCTTGTACAATGAAAGCTGATTGACCGAAGGAGGTTTTGCATCTGGGTACTTGACAGTTTCCACTGTGGGCTCCTCTTGTGACTGAGCCCACAGCTCTGAGGGGAACTACACAGTCACTCTAAACCTTAGGGGCCTTATCATGCAAGCATTTGTAAACCAGTTTTAACCGAGCAAATTTCACAAAGTTCTCAACATTTAGCATTTTTAAATTGTTCAGACTAACACAGTGATGGGACCTGATTGGTTTTTTATCTAAGATTTTTATAGCTCTATTATATATCATCTAAAGAGGCTTGATAGTAGTGCTTGTGGCCTGTGACAAAGAACTAATGCAGTAACTTAGATGGGAAAAAATCATGGAGTGCATAAAACTGTGAGCAGCGTGAAACGGTAGGGAATCTCTAATCAGTTTGAATGTGTACAAGCTTTTAAGAAGAGAAGAAGAGGCAATCAGTTCAGCAGCTGATCTTTTTTCAGCATTGATGATTTATCAGAGCTGATGTTCAGATCAATGATCTGTGTTTCCTCTGCAGGTAGAAGGTTTGAATTCAGCAGCATGGATCAGTGTGAGGACAGAGAGGAGGGAGCCCCTCCCTCTAAAACCACTCAGAGTGAGGAAGATGAAGCTCAGAGGTGAGATCTTCATCTCTGACTGTCCTCAGGCCTTTTCACACTTTATCAGATAAAAAAAAAATACATAATGATGAGGCTGCTGCTGTTACTCTGAGGTGCTTCAATCATAGATATCATATACGTAGACGTCTCATGGATGGGCTCTGCCTATGCTGCAGATGATTCAGAGCGTCCACCATGTTGAATTTGGCAAATCTGCTGATAGATTCAGACACTTAAACAGCATCAGAGGGACTCTAATCTCAGAATATACTTTATATTGGTAATATTTTTATTTTTGTGATATTATTAGTATATTTTTGAATCACTTTGGCTTAATTCTCCTGACTTTATTCTCATAAAGAATAAAAATAACAATTTGACCTGGCCCTATTACTCCAGGACTAAAATAGTTATGCAAACTGTGGGTATTCTGGACATGTTCCGCATTAATTCTCATACTATGTCAGTTTTTCTTTTCTTTTTTTTTATTGTCTTAGGACTTTTTTCCTCATTTCATCTCTATAATGCTTCCCCAAAAAGTCTGTTAGATTTAACCAACTGATTTTTAGAGTAATAACACACACATACAAATTTATATATACATTTTCCATAAAACGGTTGGTAAATTTCCACACAGCAGAGGAATGAGGAATCTTTTACAATTAACCTCTTACACCCTACGGGGGTATAAATAAATTTCTGTCTGACAAAAACACACAAAAGTAAATCACTTATAGCCTCACAGCTATTAGATTTAAGAAGAAACTTTTGGTAC